CAAGCTGTACACCTATCGCCTTGTAGGAAATAACAGCGGAATTCATGCCAATAATTTGCCATCTCTGCGCCTCTGATATCCGTATTCTTGCCATTCTTTTTAAAATGATTTTGCATTCAGAAATTCGGGACTTAAATACGGATTTGATGCACGAGAAAATAGTGCATATTGGACGTGAAGAAGGGAGCAAGTTGCACGTGGGGAAAAAAACGCGCCTGATTTAAATAGTCACACCTGAACGCTCACTATCCTTTTAATTATGTTTGAAATTATGAACATTGCTCAACATCATGAAAATTAAACCTTATTTTCAATAAGCAATCCTGAAAAATATTTGGGGGTGCTTAACTTTTTTCCAGGTGTATAGTTAATCAACTTATTTCAGAGGGAATAAAACTTTTAATAAATTTTAGTTGTTCTCATGCTCAAAAATTACAAAGTTATTAACATTTGAGTAATACTCCAGTGAAACATCTCTACAACAAATACTTAATTTATAATAAAGGATGGACTGTTTATAAGGTATAAAAAAATTAATTAAAACCGCATAGGCAACGAAAATATCAAAATTAAATATAAACTTGGCGCTTGTTTATAATGTATGTATTACCTACCCTTAAATATTAAATAAATTGATCATATTTGCAATTCAACGTGATCTCCAAAATGTTATTTATATATGAAAAAAAGGTATAACGATTTAACTTTTAGGAAAGGCTATACTTTTAAAACATGTTTTGCTAAACTAGCTTAGAATTCCACTGTTGACCGTCTACAACTTTCAAATAATAAGCCTTTTCAGTATAAGTAAAAATAATGTGGTGGAACAGAAGCATTCGAAGGTTTTTGAACGATATTGTAATTTCTTTATCTTTCGTAGATCTGCTATCGCCACTATTAACTCGTCGGTAGGTGGCGGAATGGCCGCTCTTACTTTTAGGTAAGGAAATCATTAAATACTCTGTAACTATTATAAACAATTATTTCTTAAAGTCTTGAAACAATCTGCATATCTAAATTTTTCCGATCGTAAATTAGGTTATCACATTTCATTACAGCTATATTGCGCACAAGAAAAAATTTATGATCTTAGACTTTATCACCGGAATCCTGGCATCTTTGGTGTCTGTGACGGGTAAGTTATGTTATCTATTTTAATTGTTTACTAGTTTAATATTTGTTATATACATACACGCTTGGATTCAACATTTTGGTTACGACGTCACCAATGGAGGCAAAATTGAATTATGATATGCCAACACGTGAAACGATTAGATTTAATAGCAATTATTTCAGCTCATACATTATCAAAGCAATGATAATAAGTAACCATCCATAAAAACATATCTTATCAATGCAATGATAATAAGTAACCATCCATAAAAACATCAATAACATACATTATCAAAGCAATGATAATAAGTAACCATCCATAAAAACATCAATAACATACCTTATCAAAGCAATAATAATAAGTAACCATCCCTAAAACCATTAGCAACATGCCTTATCAAAGCATCTCAATGAGTAACCATCCCTCGAACCATCGGCAACCATAAATGACACAGTTAAACAAACCCTGTTCCAGAACTTTGAAATGATTCTTTTTTGTTCATATTTGGGCGTTGTAGGGAGGAAACTGTTTTTGTTACATATTTATTAGTTATTTATTTTCTTTATTTCAAGTTAAGCACAAAGCCAAACAATGTGGTCTCTGTGCTATACCCACCACGGATATCGAACGAAACCCGATTTTGAAGTTACAAGCCCTCAAAAGCGCTTAGTGCGAAGTGTTCGTGTTTTTTTTTTGTTTTTTTTTGTTGTTGTTTTTTAGGAAACTCTACTATTTTAGTATATTGTATTTTACTTATTGTGAGATGTAACAAAATCGACACGGACACAAGTTAAAAGAACACCAAGTTTAGAGTCCATGGTTGCTTTTTTTTTTAATATGAATAAAATTGATATGATAAAAAAATCACATTTTTATGGAATATATTACTTGTTTTCAAATTGTACAGACAGACCAGAATATTCGAGGATTTTCCTTAAATATTTTAACCTCAGTCTCAAAATGAAACAATTTCTATATTATTTTACATGCAGATTAGTAAACGTATATGTTACATGTTTCTTCCTGTTTTGCATATTCCACAAACCACTAAAATCCTTTAAACTGAGTTGTTAAAACAAACATTTTATACACACTTGTACCAATATCGTAAATAGGTATCCAACACAAAGTCTACTGTTGAAATCTTCAATATATTTGTTAATATTTCTCGATTTGGCTTCTTTTTTTTTCTCACACACACGCACTAGAATTTGTTCTTATTGAAAGATAGTTTGAGGCTAACTAGCTCTCATCCTAGATTCAGGTGAAATATGAAACACGTTTGGTCGTTTTTGTTGTTGTTTTTTTTTTTGTGGTTTCGTATATGATTTCTTGGCTGACGGATTTTATAAGGTCTCTCTCTCTATCACCTTCTAGCTGGATGTGCTCTTTATCACCCATGGGAAGCCCTTATAGTGGGTACGATAGGATCACTGGTGGCCAATGTTACAACGCCCATCCTTAACAAGCTCAATATCGACGATCCAGTTGGAGCTATCGCAGTTCACGGCAGCAGTGCCATCTGGGGTATGTTGGCTGTTGGAATAATAGTTGAAAAAGATTCACTGCTTTCATTGAGCAAAGGCAATGCTGGACTTTTTCGTGGAGGTGGATGGTACCTTTTAGGAATACAGACCTTGGCTGCTATTATCATCATTATCTGGAGTTTTGCTTGTACTTTTCTTTTGTTATTTGTAAGTTCGTTATATTTTATTATCTTTCTCTACTTAATAAAATATAATTTTATTTTAAATACTTACAACATGGAAGAAAGTACCATCACATTATTTTTCACTATAACAGTCTAATCAATAAATATTCTCCTAAGCTGTTTCTTTGTTTACTATGTTACTTGTATTATAGTCATCTTCAACTTGTTTAGGACAAGAAACTACACACAAAACTACTATAGAACAATACGTTTGGCTGATTTTTCTATGCTGATATACGTTTAAAACCTGAACAATCTCTTTTGCGATATATGAGCTAAAATGTTAGGTCACTTTTACAATGTATCTACAACTAAAAGTGCGGAGCGCTAACAGCCACACATTACAGATCGATCCTTGAACTTTCCCATACACAGCCCAGAGGAGTTACCACTAAACCACGTTTGTCCCTTGCTTGTACAAATGTAATTCAAGAAAGATGTAATGGGAACTGTGAACACTAAATGCTAATTAGATTGTGAAGAATGTTTGTTTGTTTTTTGAAGTTAAGCACAAAGCTACACAATCGATGTGTTCGAAGGAAAACAAAGTTTGATTATAAACAAGATTACAACACTTATGATATACAACATTGTTTATTGACAAAAAGGGGAGATGGATAAAAGTTAAAGAAATATAACAGACTACATCCTCAGAATCCAACTTCAAAATT